AAGTGGGCATTAAAAATACCTGAAATCCCAACCGTTCTTGCGAGTATTTATTCATTAAGTAAAATGGAATATTAAAACAAACAATTATCTATGTAGGAAAACTTGAAAAGGACTTTCAAGATACTCAAAATAATTCGAAAACTTAAAACAACAAAATTTACCTATTTTAAAATTGTTTTGCAATATTTTATACTCTGAAACCATTAACAATAATTGTATGCAGATATTGTTTTTCGACATCGAAGAAACCTCAATGCGGAAAAGTGAACGTGACCTAATAACCCAATGTGAAAATTTCAACGCACTATGTTAAATATTTTATATCTATATCTACAGACATAATAATCTCGAATATATAAACTTTATGGAGTCTCCGACGAATATTTTGGAAAAATAAATTGAATACCACACAATGGAAATGGGTTTTGTATATAATATGGTGTAATTTTTCAAACATACGTTGGCCCTTTCCTTGCTGTGTTTTTCTAAGCGCTTGGATAGGTTAATGCCCCCTAAAATATGACCTAATTTCTTTAAATTATATTGACCACTTTTATGGTATATAAATACCAGAAAACCACCTCCTTCACAATTAAAACACTAGTGGCCAATATTCCCAGAAATAAACGCCTCCTCTTGTTGTCTATGCAATCTTTTACTATTTCATCAGCTGTTTGTTGTGTGGCTTTGTAATGGATTAATGCCACCTTGCAGTTGCAAGTCAACAACCGACCTAACTGACGACCAAAAAACAACAATTTTTGTGATGTATATTGCATAACCTGAAAGTCTGGATAGAGTAGTGGATAAATAGTAGTGGTAGTTAGAGTTTGTGTTTAGATGGTACTAACTTTTGGCGAAATGCAACTAACCAAACAAACAACCAGCCAGCCATTAATTCTTGTTGCCGGTTTCTCAACATCTTTTAAACCACCATGACCAGACTAGCATTCATTCATTTATAATCAGAGAGGCTTAGTAACTGGTAAAAAGTGTTAGTGTTACTCAAAGAGGACGATCACTGACGTCGTTGTCTACATCTTTTGCCAAAGAAAAATGCAAGTTGAGTACAAAATTTTCATTTCATTTGAAAATTCGCCTATCAGCACCACAGTTTGACTTACTTCAAGTTGGTCGCGTGAATGGCTAACAAATGACTGAATAAATGTTGGCTTTATGGTTGATATTTCTGGTTTCTCTTTTCATGCTTTTTCCGCTTAACGTCATCATCGGACACGGGGAGAGAGTATGCATGCAAACAGTTGTTTGATTAGTTTTTACTGCACTTAGCGAAATTCTGGTTTTTTGCTCATTCACAGGTGGGTCATTTGTTGATTTGAATATGTAACTCTTTTATAATAGATGATTTGAATAGGTAACTCTTTTATAATAGAAACCGCGTCAGCTATTAACAACTAATAAAAAAGCATCTTCAAAAAATGCATCTTTGAATCTGCCAAATATTTATGTATGCATATTTTTTTGCGTGTAACCATTATAGCTTTTAGGCCAAAAGAAATGAAAAGCCATTTGCCTGGTATTGCAACCAGCCACGCAAATGGGACACCAGGTTAAGTAAATAGCATAGTCTCACACACATAGATATAAATGGGTAATATTTTATACGGTATTATATAATACGTTTGTTTATTTGTTTAGTTAATATGATTTTGATAATATCTAACGGCTGGCTTTGAGTTTTAAAACTTGCCGAAGTAGAGGTGATTAGGGAAATCACATCGGTTATATATCTAAATCTTAGTGATAAGAGACGGAGTGACTGACTGACAGATCATCGCCCAGACGAAACTGCTAAAGCCAGAAGCTTGAAATTTTAATTTACATTTTTTGGAAATTCGAACAAGAAGGGTGCAAAAAGTACTAAAATGTACTAAATATGGTATACTAGGCAAACGTGAAGAGCTAGAATTCTGATATTTAGAATGTGGGTCACTGATGAAAAGTTAGAAAGGGTTATGGAAAATTCGATTCGAAGTGTACGAGAACTACTAAACTGTACTAAATTTAGTTCTAATTATATAATATTGAGCGTATATAGCTAGAAGGGGTGTTTATGTATGGAAATGTTTTTAGAAATTCGTAGTTATGTGTATGAAAAGTACTACATGGTACTAAATTTGGTACTATTTGTATTTAATTGAGCGTATAATGAGGTGGAATTCTGAAAATAGGAATTAGGATTACTATTGGAATACAGGATTGAGGTAACTTTAAAAAAAATCGTACTTATTGGTATGAACAATACTAAATTTAGTACACTTTAGATTTTGGGTGAACGGGTGGAATTTATGTTAACGTTGAAGAGTAGGATATGGAGAGAGCTTTGGAGTTTCGTAATTGGGTGTACGAAAGTACTAAACGGCAACAAATTTGGCAAAATTTACGTGTACTAAATAGTACTAACTTTGGTACAATTTGATTTTGTGTGGATTGAGGTAGTTTAGGAAATTTTTAATTATGGAAACAAAAGTACTAAATGGTTTTGGTACCAATTGTTACAATTTGTTTTGGTGTGAACGGATAGGGCTGAAATCGTAAAATTTGGAGGATAGGATTGAGGCATGGAGGTACTTTTGAAAATTCGTAATTGAAAGATTGGAGTGAACGGATAGAGATAGAAAACTTATAGATGTAGAAAAGAACTTAATGACACTAAATATGGCACAATTAGGATATATGTGAATGGTACGTACGAAAAATAATAATTGGCACTAAATATGGTACAATTTGGATGTATGTGAACGGTACGTACGAAAAGTACTAAATGACACTAAATATTGTACAATTTGGAACTATGTGAACGGAGAAACGAATAAATCCGGAAAATTTGTGATTAAAAGACGTACTTACGTCTATGAAATGTGATAAATGGTACTATATTTTGTACAACTTAAATGATGGTGAACTGATAGACCTGGAATCCTTAGATGTGGACTTATGATTATTATTATTGGAGTGCATGACTAAGGTAGTTTTGGAAATCCGTACTTATGGGTACGATTTGGACTTTGGGGAACTAGATTGAGATAGTATTGATATCTGGGGAGGATTGTGAAAATCGTCTACTAGAGTTTTTTTGCAAATAGAGAGCAGGACTTCTATGACAGAGGCATTATGAAGTTACCTTTAAAATGGCAACAAATCATACAACAAATCGTTTCATTCCGAAGCATGTTAAATAATGTATTATAGTTCATATAAAAATAATGGAATTCTGTTTTCCCCAACCTAACATTTTAAAACAGGATTGAGTTAGGTTTGGAAATTCGTACTTATGAGTACTAAATTTGGTACAAGTAGGATATTGGTGAACATAATGAGCTGGAATCTTGAAATTGGGAATTAAAATTACTGTTGGAGTGTGTATTGAGGTAGTTAATTAATTCGTACTTATGGGAACAAAATGTACTAAATGGTATCAAATATTTTACAATCGGTTTCTGGATGAACTGATAGGTCTGAAATTCTTAAATTTGGGATTAAAATTATTGTTTGAATGGTTGTATATTGACATATGGAGATAATTTTGACAATTCGTAATAATGGTAATAAACTTGATATTAGATGTAGGAATAAAGGTGGAATTCAGAATTATAGTACCACAAATTATAAAGTTTTCACGATTTCCATACTATTTGTAAGTTTTGTATTGTATTTTGCACACGAAGTAGCGGGTACTTCGGTAGTATACATATAAAATTCATAATTCGATTTTAATAAAATCGTATATTTACAGATTGCTGGTCCATATATCCCCTACCATAATGAGGAGACCCCATACACAAAGTGTATATACAGTCGAAATCATCTATAATGTCAATGTGTTTAAAGACATATCGGATATATCGGCAGTATCCAAACGTACGCTCTGGTCTTAATTTGATATTGATATTATATATCGATAATTTCACAGGCCACTTTACCGTCGTTTCAAGCCATTTCGACTGAATTCCCAATTAGGATAAAATTCTATGCCAGTCTGTTCGTTGGAATCATGATACTGCTTTCAATATTTAAGATAGATCGTAGAAATTTTGACTACCAAACTACCCAACTACTACCCAAGGATGTTTGGTATTAGTCAACATTTTGGTAAAACCAACATATAAATATTCGGTATTTTAGTCACATTTTAACTGAATTGAATAGCCCCCATTTAACCACACCTCCTAAATTTTGGTACCTTATGGAGTTAGGGATGGAACTCCATCAAATTGACTGACATTTTATATTTTGGATTAATTTTGGGTAAAAAAGTCCCTACCAAAAAATTATCAATATTGGCCACAATTCCGGGTAAGCTTTCATAAAATTGTACCTCCATTTTTCGGTGTTTTCGGGAGTTTGGACACATTAATATTTATTTGTAGAGCTTCATATAATAGAAGGTATAAAAAGTCCAGTTTATTTTCTACTCGCGTGCAAATTTTACCTCCTGAAAATTGGGAAACAATTTAAGAACTTTAAAAAATCATTCATTCTTTTTGAGCCTTAAAGAGGTCTAGAGTTATCAGTCTCTCACTCTATCTGTCTTTACATACAAACTATGCATTTTCTTTACATCTCACATCAAATTTGTGTCCATCAATTTCCACCCGGTCATCGAAGTGTTAATATGTAAATTTGATGTACATATAATTGTCACAATAACCCATAAAAATATGACTATCTATTGTCCAACCAATAACAATAATAGTTATAATATTATTAATAACCGCAATAACCATCATCCTCATCATCGCAGTGTCCAACAATGAAAAGACTATCTTTATTCACACTAACATGGCAAATATCGTGTGAGCAGTTAGATTTTTCTTCACTATGACTACTTACCCAATAGAATCTCTACGGTGGCCTCACTCATATAATCGTGACAATCGAATGTTTTGCCACCCTCCGACTGAAGTTTGCGGACCACATTGCGTGAATTTTCATTGAATAGATCAATGAAACTTTTCAGAACGTTCAAATGGAATGTGGGTGCAATCAACTTGCGGTGTGATCGCCATTTATGACCTGTGTGTTTAAATTAGAATAAAAAGTGTCAATTAATAATAGCCAGCGATAACAAAGCGGAATAGATAGATATATATGTTCTATTGTGTGTGTTATTAAATATTTAAAAAAAAAACATATTAAGGAATTTTTCTCATTTGAGACTTTGTTGGTTTTTATTAATAAAAATGAAGAGAAGAAATGGTTAGAAATAGAGGGAGAGAAAGCTTGAACAAATTTAACTTCCTTAAGAAATAATTTTCCTTTGAATAGTAAAAATATATTCTGTTTTGATTTATAAGTTGACTCACCTGTACTAATTAGCAGACCATCACCAAGCCATGGCTTAAAGAATTTATATTCTGATGCCTTGTCAATATAGACCTGACTGCTGAGTAGTATTTCAACATCTTTCGGATCATAGATGAATACCACCAGTTTCGGACCAATCCACATTTTACATACATAGGGAAATTCAGAACTTTTTCGTATGACCGTTCTGAAAACCGCTGAAATTAAAGAGAAAAAATAATAAATTACGATATTTTAGGAATTATATAATTTTTTCGAAGGTATATTATTCTTAAATAGGAATATGACACCTCGCTAGATATATTTAACATAACCAACTCGTTAGAGAATATCAAGATTCAAAAATGTATATTCTTTGTGAATTCTTTGGCAAATTTCTGGTGCAATGGAATAACACATTTAAGGTACATTCCACCTTATGGTGGAAAATCTCTGTAAAAAGTCAGAACGATTTTCGTCATTATTGCAAGAATATTAAATTTTAACTGCGGAACAAATTAAACATGTAGAAACTGGGAACTGACAGAGGCCAGAAAAACTATTAAAATACACCACTGTCAAAAAGAAAGACAACGAAAAACGTACCAATATTACGAACGAAATGCTTTACATAATTTAAACTGTTAAATATTTTTTAAGATCCTTTAGCAATTAAGTAACGGTCAACTATGTTAACCATACATTTTACTATATTTAAGGGGACACCACCTAGGATTATTAAAATCGCACAATTGTTAACATAATTCTAGATTTGATTTTTAGAAAATTAGCTATTTCAAATTCCAAGTTAGAAAATAAGGAACCTCTTGCCCGATTTCATTTATCATACCTAGTTCATAAGACAGCTGTGTACGTACAGATTAACGGGTTAAAATTTTGAACGGATTCGATAATTAGTTTTTGAGTTATCGTGGCCGCCATTTGTAAAAACAGAAGTTCTAGATAAACGTGCTTAATGTTTGAGAGGGACTTGGGCTATATCTTTAAGAGTTTTTAAGATTTTCACTTAAAAAGATATTCTTGAATTAGTGGGAGGTGCCCCTTAACGCAATTTCATTCACATTGATTGACCAAAGTATATAATAATTTCACTTAAAAAAATTAATAAAAAATCAAGGACTATCTTCTCAAAAACATTTCTTAAATCCACGTTTATGTGCTATTTATTCTCAAAAAATAGATCTTAAAAATTTTAATTTTTTGTGAGCTTAACTAAATACTTGGCTGAAATCCCTAAGCAATTTAAAATCAGTACCATTTTATAGGAATAATAAAAAAATAAGTAAAAAAGTGTCAGTTTGTGTTGCAGACAGATAAATACCCTTAGCCTCAGATTTGCGGAGATCTTCGAATTTACTCACAAGTTTTATTATTGGCTTTATATAAGGTAGGGGAGACTGGGGCACATTCGGTACTTTTTTAGAGCTCTATATTTCAGTACTTATTCAATAGATATAAAAACTTTATGGGTGAGTATTGTCCTCAGATACTTTATTTTAAATAAATTGTACCAAACGCATATAATAAATTAGTATTAGTTAAATATTTTTACAGTTTTGTCAAAAAAGTTAAATTCTTTGAATGTGCTCCAAACCCGGGGCGTTTAAATTTAAAACGTTTTATACGTGAAATGGAATGGAAATATTACAAAAACATCTGTAAAAACACAAAAAAAACCTTGCATCTAAATAATATTATTAGCTAGAGATTTCAACCCTTGGGACAGTTCTTTATTTTGATATTCGATATATCGAAAATGCCATTGTCGAATGTGTCCCGATGCCGAAGGTGTCCCTGTCTCTCCTACTTCTCTTGGACATACAAGAATGCCATGGAATGTGTCAGTGTCAGTTGGTGTTGCCGACAGATATTTACCTTCAGACTATGGATAGCGGAGTTCTACGGAATTTAACGCAGGTTTTATTATTTTTATCGGGATGTACTAAGGAGAGTGGAACGATGGTTTCCACCTTCCGACTTGATAAAATATTTCTATTTGCAAAGTTTCGATCAAATCGGATTTAATTTGATTGATATTGGATTAACAAATGAAAAAAAAACTTTGATATAGTGTATATTTACCAGAAGGAGTAGACCGACGATTTTGCAAAGTTTAATTCAAATCGGATAGGTCGTTCGCATGATGTTACAGCAATTTTTTTTTAGCAATAAATTATTAATGGATTGGTCTCATCATTGGATTCGATCTAGTCTACGTGAACAAAATTCTTTACAATTTTTCCAAATTATGACCCTTTGTGAGGAGGTACTAGAAAGAATGTCCCTATAACTCCAATATCCCAATAATATACAGGCATGATTAAAATATTAGGTTGTATAATCTTTGGTTTGAATCGCATGTTCTCTTCTCTCTAAAATGAAATTTTAGCTTAATTTTGACCATTTTATGGGTGAGGTACCACCGACATCATCTAACTTAATATGAGTTTGAAAGACATTTTACGATGTGCATAATTTGGTTCGGACGTTCCATTAGCCTAATATTGGATTTATAAATATTGAAAATTTTGACCATTTTGTGGGGAGGTACCAAATAGAGAGAGGACCAATGGCTTCTATCTTTGAAATTGATCAGATAATAGGTTGTTCAGTCTTAGGTTCAAATCGGATCGTCCGTTCGCATAATATTATAAAAATAATTGTCAGTAAAATGTTGACCATTTTTTGAGGGAGGTACCAGAGGGAGTGCACCGATATTCCTCATCTTCGAACTTAAACTTAGTTTGAAAGAAATGTTACAATGTGCGAAGTTTGGCACAGCCACAGAGACGAACGGACATTTGTAAATCTACCTGTTTGAAATTTGGTCCAAAGAAAAAGGTTTCTTATACATAATATTAAAACAAATTGGAATAAAACAAAATTTTCAAAAAAATAAATAGTAAGAACTTTGCTGTTGGTCGGTAGGTCTTCGAAACATATTTAAAAAATATTTTTTTTGTCTAAATTACCTTCAAAAACATTCTTAGAAACCAATAATTATTGGAATACCGCTCTTAAGAAATATTTTCTAAAAAATCGGGTTTATTGACCAATTTTTATTTGAATAACTATGTTATATTCCAAAGATTGGATTTTTCATTCACTTTTACTGGCCAAAGTTTTTTTTCAATAAATTAAAAAAACATCTTCTCTAAAAAATTGTAAACAATCAAGGAACTGTTTTTAAAAACATCTTTGACATCCATGTTTATTTTCTAACTATACTTGAAAATATATCTTAAAAAATTTAATTTTTTGCGAAATTAATAAATACCTACTTCGCTGAAATCCTCCCCTGTTATTTAAATTCCAATTTCAAAACGTTACTCTAGGCCGTGAAGATCTTTCTTACGTTTTAACTTGACTTGTGGTTAAAAATTGGAGATTTTCCAAAAATTAAATTTGATATGTCTGCCATTTTGGTAATTTTTATGCAAAAATAATACTAGTTCACACCAGAGCCAGACATGTACCCTTTCAAATCGGAAATCATGCGCGCCGTCTAAAAGAAAAGCTATTCTTTAAATGCTATTCTTTCCAGATATTTTCTTCTTGAAGTCTTCAAATGAGTCTTCTCTTTGCGCCGTTGAGCGTATGGTCTAGGGGTGAAAGCCCTAGTGTATTAAGCCCGAGTATATTAACATTAAAGAACTTTTTTCACCAGTACTCATAAAGAATACTTTTGGAAAGAACATCCTTCTTGTATGTTGAGCCCTTGTCGAATTTTATATACTTATAAGCTTGCACGGTAATTTAAATAGAACATCATGAGAATTGTTGGCCTACTAATATTTCACAAAAATGCCTCCAAATATTTTACTTAAGATTTTAGATGGGACCTCCAAAGACAAGAAATCGATATTCGCCTGTTTCCATCCTGATGTTCCACTTTTACCCGATCCTTTCTCAGAAACCCATATCCCATATATCCACGAACATTAATAAATTTTACATTTGAAGTAGGATCCTTCTAAAATATTTACCTTAGGGGACCCTCCCATTTTCAATTTTAAATTTTGGTAAATTTTAAACGGCTGACAAAGGAACGTGAATTAATTAAGACTATGTATTTAAAGACTTAAGGGATAAGAAAAATAACAAAAATATGTAATTTTTGTTGTTTTGTAGTTGATTTTTGTAACTAAAGAACATTTATTCTTATCAATGGCAGCCATGATTTCCGACCACGAAAATTCCAACGGCATTCGAAAGGGTTTATGTCTGGCTTGGGTATGAACTTAGATTATTACCATCGCACAAAAATTAACAAAAATGGTGGACTTTGGAGATTTGATTTTTTTAAATTCCTTCCTTTCGTAAAGACACTGTTTAGAGCGTTTAAAGTTTCTGCGGTCACTGGATGCTAATATAAGAAATCGTCTATATCTTTCACACTTGTTGAGTTTTTCACTTGAAATTTTATAGTGACATTCTTGAATCGGTGTAGGTAGGAAATAATTAAAGCTCACAAAAGAAACTATTCACCAAGAAAGAAAATTAAAAAAACTTAAAATCCAATTTCTAAAAAAACATTTCCATACATGATTTAAATCGTTTCACTCCAATATGACAATTTTTATTTTTAAATACCTATATATTATATTTAAATTCACGATTGCTTACTGGTTTATTTTTGGAAATAGATTCAATTTTTTTCTTAATATTATTTGTAAATATTGAAACCATTACTGTTTTTATTACAATTCAAGAAGAAATATTTTTTTAAGATTTCGGCTAGTTTAATATTCATAATGTTTTCAATCCATATAGTTTACACACATTTTTATCTTATGTTTGGGTTTATATATATTTTTCGATATTTCGTCATATTTCTAATTAAACACAAACACCAAATTAACACATACATGATGCTGGTCCAACGACATCGAATAAATGCCCAACAATGGGTAATCCTTTGGGTCCTGGCAATTTCTCAGCCAATTCGTACAGATGGCGACGTGATAGACGCCAATAGGTAAACCATAGCGTCAGCAGCGGCAACAGCAAAAAACAAAAGACGCTTGCGGGTGATATCAGTTGTGGGTCTTTGAGCACTTCCAGAGTCATTTTGGTTGTCTAATTTCTGACAATGGCGTCGAGAAGCGTTTCCGTTTTATTTTCTTGTATTTTTTTGCTTTTCTTCAATTAAACATTTACTTTGCAATGAATTAGACGAAGGAAAAAAAACACAAACAACTATGAAAAGGAAACGTAATTTGTCGCTGTTTTGTCCACTTATTTAGTTTAGATTTAAGTTTAGTTCATTCATTAAAGCGAACAATTAAGTAAAATTTATCAACCGAGCAGACACATTTTTTTCTTCAAAAAATCTTATTTTGTTCACTGGCTTTTTGTGTCCGCTTTGTATTATGTGGTCGATTGGTTGGTTTGTGTGGGGGTATATCTGGATTTTCTGTTTTTTATTCGTTTCGAAATGTTACTCCCGCAACCGTCGTCCGAGTTAAGTTAGAAAAGCGCGTCCGCGTATAACTGTGAATTGTGCCACAAAGTGTAGCTTACTTTTATAGCTTGCGCTTGGCCTAAGTTACCTAGTAGTCCCGGGTTCGTTTTCCATTCTGCTTTCAGGTTGCTTCGATTCCTCCATACACATTTACTTATTTTTAAAATGTGCCATACAGGCACACAACAACAATCCGCAATCATCATCGTGTGGCAATCGGGTTTTAAAAACGCATTGCACAATGGGAATGAGTAATAATAAATATATGTGTTTTATACAAATTCGGAATAGCTTGTATTTAATAAAGTCAAATTCGGCAAATATTCTGGAATGTCAAAAGAAAAATATGTATTACATTTCTGGTTTAAATTTTAGAGACCATTTGTTATTAATACCCATACGTTCGATTGCTGATTTTTTTCGAGCTTCAGATTCGTCACCAATTGACAAGCGACTTTTTTGAACGTTTTTTTTGTTCATACTTCACGATCATTCAAATTTTTTTTTTTTAAATTTATTTTTCACGTCGTCGTCAAACCGTCTAAGTAGGTTTATCCTAAAAACGTCAAACTTTCAGATGGATCATGGCAACAAGTAAAATTTAGGAATAATTTTAAAAATTAAAAATGTTTTATATCATAATATTTAGCATTTGTTTTGAAAATTTCAAATTGAAAATATATTTGAAACATTTTTAATAACTGTCCAAAAATATATATTTTTAATATATGATTTTTTAAATTAATTCTTCTATTTTTTGTCTATAGGAGAAAATTCTAATAAAGCTTCTTCGTTTGCAGGTTAGTAAATTAATGGCGGAAAAATTTATTATCATCAGTTACTTCCATTTTGACATATTTGCATTTAAAGTTATATTGAGTACGAATTGCAATAACTCGAAATATTCACCGAGGAACCATAAAGTATTTATATACATTCTTGGTTACAATAAAATAATATGTCGTTTTAAGTATGTCTGTCAAACTCACGTAGTGCTCGCAATATTAAAGAGCTTTTAAACTGTGTACTGAAATGGGATACATCGGTCCACGTTTTGTCCTTCACAAACCATTTGTACAGACAATTTTATACATAGGTCTTTAAAACCCTCTTGTCAATGTTATATCCTACTTGCGTATTTTTAAGGATTTCCAAGCATTTACTCATCGAAGTGGTTGTAATTTGAAATCTATGTTAGCCGAAAAAACATCACCCTCGCTAGTCTGTAATTTATCGGTAACTAGCATATGCCCGCTACTTCGTTAACCTACAAACCTACATATTTCAAAGGAGCTATCAACAATGTAAGTACCATTTAGTACATTTGTTCCCTTTAGCACGTATTTCCAAAACTACCTCATATCTCAACACTATATGCAAATTTTGACCGCAGCAGAAATGTAGCTCTATTCTAAATTTGGTACCATTTTGTTCTCTTGTAATATTTTTTTTCCCAAATTCGAGCTATAGGTTTACCAAATTCGAAATTCACAATTCCAAATTTTACCAAATTTAGTACACATTACTATAAAGTTGCATATTTACCTACCTTAACAATGCAATCCTAACTCCAAATTTCAGGATTCCAGCTCTATCGGTTCAACCAAAATTCGAATTGTTCGAAATTAAGTACAATTTTAGTACACATAAGTTTGAATTTCAAAAACCACCAATATCATACAACTATTAGAATTATTAATTCCCAGACCTATCGGTCCACCCAAATCCAAATTTAGTACCATTTAGTACACATTAGTATAAATTTCCAAATCTTCATACATATCCCAATCCTACACCCCAACAGTGATCCTATCTCCAAATTTCAGCATTCTAGCTCTATAAGTTCAGCCAAAATTCAAATTATAGCAATAGAATTCGTTTTTTCCAGTTTCAATACTTCAATAATATTTAGTACACATTAGAACGAATTTCCAAAACTTCCTACAAAGTCCAATTGAACATCCTACCTACAAATTTGAGGATTTCAACTAAATCGGATCATCAAAAATTCAAATTATACCAAATTAAGTACCATTTAGTACACATAATTACGAATTTCCAAAACAACCTATACAATACAATCAATATAAACCTTATTTCCCAATTTCAGGATCGGTTCAACCAAATCCAAATTTACTACAATTTAGTACACTTTAGTACGAATTTCCAAAACTCCATACACCCTAACAACGATCTTAACTCCAAAGTTGAGGATTCCAGCTTAATCAGTTGACCCAAAATCCAAATTTTACCAAATTTAGTGGAGAAGAGGGGGCCTTTTGAACACTTATTGCTTTCAAGCCTCATACAGTTTTTATACCCTTCATCACACTGTGGTACAGGGTATTATGTCTTTGTGCATATGTTTGTAACAGGCAAAAGTAATCAAGATAGACCCATGGTTCCTTTTGAGAATATTCATAGAATCACTTTCTGAGTCGATTTACGCATGTCCGCTTGTCCGTCCGTCCATGTGTTTTTGTGAACAAAGTACAGGTCGCATTTATGATCCGATTTGGATGAAATTTGACATAGGTCACTTATTTGACCCAAGGACAAACCCTATTGAAATTGGGGAAAATCGGTTCAGATTGAGATATAGCTCCCATATATATTTTCGTCCGACTTAATGTAAACGGTCCCTATATATATTTCGATTTGCATTCGATTTTCACGAAATTTGGTACAGCCTAATGATTTGGGTCTAAAATGATGTGTGTTAAGTTTCCAGAAAATCGGTTAAAATTTAGATATAGATCCCATATATATTTTCGTCCGGTTTAATGTAAATGGTGCATCGAAGTCCCTATATATCTTTCATTTGCACGAAATTTGGCATAGCGTACTGATGTGTGGTAAGTTTAGGGAAAATCGATTCAGATTTCGACATATCTACAACATATACATAAATACTCGTCCGATTTTACATATATGGTGCACCAAACTCCTAATGTTTGTCCGATTAACACGAAATTTTGCACAATGTATCAAATTGAGACTTGAATGACGGTATTGCGTTTTGTTGACATTGGTGCAGCTGCAACCATAGCTTCCATATGTATTTCGAACGGGTGTCTGATTGAGATTAAATTTTTTTTGCTATAAATCGTTTTCCATAAATTTGTCTCATGGTACTCAGACGACTCTAAATCTGCCCGAATGAAATTAAATTTAGCATAGGTTGTAGAAAGACATGAGTATGTTCCTTCGAGGGAACATTGACATACAATTGTAAGGATACATATGTACAATGTACACAAAGCGGTGAAGGGTATAATATAGTCGGCCCAGTGCGACTTTACTACTTGCCTTACTTACTAAATTTTAATTGATAGGTCGATTTCCAAAACTACCCACATACCTCAATTCTACAATGCAGTAGTAATCTTATTTCCAAAATTTAGTGTTCCGGTTCCCCCAAAACCAAGTTGTACCATATATTATTTTTCGTACACATAAGTACAAATTTCCATATTTACCTACATATTGCTATCCTACACTCCGACGGTAGTGTTATTTTCCAATTCCAGCTCCATCTTCCAAATTAAAATTGTACCAAATTTAGACCGACGGGTCCCACCTTCGGACTTGGTAAAGGCAATAGGTTGTGCAAAATTTGGTTCATTTAATTCGCCTGCTTTTGAATTAATAAATACTGGAAATTTTGACCATTTTTTTCGGAGGTACTAGAAGGAGTGGATCAATGTTTCACATCTTTGGGCTAGATCTAGGTTTGGTAAAGATACAATGAAAGCACACATTTCTAATTTTTCCATTGTAAAAAAATTGCGGATTCGTCTTTTTTGAACACCTGTTTCTATATGAAGGAGTCGAATCTAAGAACTTTCCGAACTGCCCTCGTATGGGCATAGTTTGCATCAAATGGCATATTCCAACAAAATTTCAAAAGATTGATAATTTGTGGACCTATTTTTGTGCCAAGTTTGATATAGATTTCCAGCAAAATTTTTACCATTTTGTGTGGGAGCTACTACAAAGCGTGTACCGATATTCCCAATCATCGATCTTTATTTATGTATGGAAGACGTAAAAACGGTTATTTCGAGGGTTATCTTGCGCATCAGCCAGACAGATAGACGGACATTTGTAAATCGACTCTAAATTCTATTAAAAAGACTTGATCCAAGGTAGCATGGGTTAAAATGTCAAAATCTCAATGTGGCACATTTGTGTCGTAGCAAAGTGTATATACCCTCATTAGTCTGTTTCTCTTTGCAACGCTTTTATGATTATTGCCCATTGTGCAAACGTCGTAGGCCTTTTCCTCGCTGCAATGCCAGAGCGGACAGCATAACTTTTGCTATGAATATTTGAATAAATGCAGTTTTTTTCTATATGTATTTGTAACTGCAGCAGTTACATATTCGATTTCGTGTAACTTCGTCTATTTGAAGAAAACACATTCATACACACACATACTTACAAATCATGTTCACACAATGAAGCCCAGATGCAAATGCATTTATTGTCATCACAATTATTATTGTGGATTTGTAATAATAATTTTGTTTACACTTTTCATTCAACAAGTTGTTGTAGTTTTTTCCCACCGAAAATTGTTTTAGGAAAATTACCAAAAAAATTTT